GAAACTGCAGTTCATCCTGGATGAGAAGACCTTTTATGAAGAAAGGCTATGTAAAATCTAATGGAAAGGCATGTTCACGTCATTGTAGGAAAATTCAACTACCAGTCCTTCATCACCTTGAAGAAAGTAGAGTAAATACACATATATAGGAATACTTAAATGTTGCTACCAGCCCGAGGATAATTCCATGGCATTGCAAGTCAGCCATCACGTATAGTATCCAATAATAGATTTAAACATATTATTTCAAATTGATGCTTGACAATTGAATAATTTACACTCCAAAAAGGATTAATTGAATGTTCAATTTTATATTTAGTGCTATAAATTATTGTCAAAAGTTTTACAAGGGTAAATAGGCCAATTTCCAAAAAACGAAGATTATAAGCACAAGATCCATCAGAGGTTGTTGCATTGTAATAAAAATGTTACAAACCTTTTCGTTTCAAGTGGCAGGAGACATTTTTGGCAGGAAGGGAATTCTCTACCATGAAAAAAGCCAAAGTACTTCCTATGAATGTAAGTGGCACTTATGGATGTGAGGTATACTGGCAAAACACTTGCAGATGTACAGGAATATGCAAGACAATAATGAAGATACAATTGTCATTTATAAAAATTCCTAAATAAAAAAGGATTCCGTTCATATAATCAAAAAATCCTACAATTATGTGCAGATATAAACTTGACTACTAAGAAGAAATCTTGCCTGTTCGCAAGACTAAATGATTCACAGATAAGCAGGATCAGTCGGGTACAGGGAAGTTAAATTATAAAATCAAAAATTTAACATCGAAGGCAAATAAAGGCAGCCCACCTAACAGAAATATTTTCATAAAATGACTATGCGATCAAACATACTGTAACAATTACTAATGAATCAAGTATTACCTAAATTATAAATAATAATAACACATTTCTATGGATGAAATCGTTATTATCGGATTTTTTCTCCACAATATACAATACCAGGCAACATTAGAAGTTTCGATAAAAGGTTGTGGCAAATGCCTATCTGGTGCACATCATCAAAGATGTATCCGCGTGAACAATATTATCCACAAAAATACAATTGCGATGTGAGGTTTTGATTTGTTTAAATATCCTTGTTTGTACGTAGATATGTGGCTAAACGTCAAGTATGAGCACAAAACGCAAAAGTAAGTCTGTAGCAGAGGCCTAAGGGAGATGCTTGCCCATTGACATGCTTTCCAGATACGCAGGCGCGTCGGCTGAAGGAACAGCGCTCCAGTGACGCTTTCTTGGTGGTAGACAGTTGGCTGGAGCTGTCGAAGCCAAAGATGAAGAAGTTGTCAAATGTGATCCAGGCATAAAACTTGAGGAATTTGGGTAACAGGAGGAAACTCGAACAGGGAAAACAGATTTATCACTAGAATAGAGGGTGTAAGTTGACGACACTGGAGTCAGTGTGTGCGAGTTCGTCGGTTGCGCAGATGATGTGGAAACTGCTATTAGAGACTCTTTATGGGGTACTATAGAGGAAGTCTGTGGAGGAAAGGGAGGAGGGGAGACTGTGTAGGTGGTAGGGGAGTTTGGGGGAGGACAAAAGTGCAGATGTGATGGAAGCGGACTAATCTGAGGAGGGTGAGAAATTGGGTGGCTAGGCGAAAGAGAATCAAAAGCTCCACAACTACCACTACCATCACCAATTATAAAAGTGGCAGAAGCAGCAGGTGGTGCAGATGGCCGTGCAAATTCTTCAGCAATAAGGTCCTGAAGAGAGGCATGCATGGACCTATCTCGCGCCGATGCTGTTAGTTTAGCGGATGCATTCTGGTCTGCTTCTTCATTAATACCGGAGTCTAGGAGACCACGGTGGATGGGCAAAAGAGGTGGAGGTGGTGGATAGGTCAAAAGTGACTCATTCATTCGTGGATATGAAGGTGTGGAATCTAACCTCGAAGCGATGGTAGAACAATGTTTAGGTCGCTTGGCCTCTGGAGACTAGAAAAATAAAAAA